TTGTTGTTGGCTCGTGGCTGGTTGGCCAAGGACACAGAGCGCCTTGGCGACGCACCCGTGTTTAGTACTTTATTGTTTTTATTCCCTTTTGCAGTTTTTATCGCTTTCGCTCTCCTTCTTCCTTTTCCTCTCCCTCTATCTCTCTTTTATTATTATTATTATTTGCTTTTTTTTGGCTCTGACTTTGATTTCCCTGGCAGCGCGTTTTGTCACAGTTTTTGCTTTAGCAGCGTTGCCAAATGCTGTAAATTACTTTTGACAAGGCTCGCTTGCCGAGCCACCCTTCTCTTTCTCACTCACTCTATCTGTCTATCTGTCTCTCTCTCTCTCTCTCTTTCTCTCTGGCTGTCTATTTATATTTGCCGTTGCAGTTTGTCGCTAGGGGCAACGTGACGTATGCGTAATAAATAAAACTTGACTTGGCTAAGGCTAAGGGCAATTGTGTGCCACGATACCGGCTATAACAAGGCGCACAAACACACACATAGACAAACACACACACACACACACACACACACACACACACACACACACACACACACACACACACACACACACACACACACACACACACACACACACACACACACACACACATTCAGAGTCAATCAATAAAAAAAAAGCGACTGCAACTCTTGACATTCAGCGAAGGCATTCAAAGCCAAAGCCAAAGCGACTGTTGCAACAAGCGGCAAGCAGCAAGCGGCAAGTGGCAAGTGGCAAGCAACACAATCAATAGCGCAATACATCAATTTGTCATTGCATTGGCGCCGCGCTCTCTTCAAACTGTTGCAAGCTTGTTTGCTTCTGTTGCCATCATTTGCCATTTAATTGATATCCCTGCCAATGCCATAGTTTCTGCAGGTTTTCTTTTTGGTATCAGCTGCCAGCTGAATGTCAATCGAATCAAAGGCAGAAAGAGAAAGAGAGAGAGAGACAGAGATACAGGAAGTGAAAGTGAGAATGTCAAAGTGTGAGAATGTCAAAGAGAGACAGAGAGAGAGAGAGAGAGAAGGGAAGAGCTGACTTCAACTGCAGCTGATGCTGAACTGTTGGGGTATGATAAACTTCTGAGTATTCATATAAAAGGCAGGAGTCACAAGTTAGAAAGTGTTCGACTAGAAGATACCCTGTTTATCACATAATATGCCTGCTGTTGGTAGTTTATTCTGTATGAAAATACGTTTTGGGCAACTAAATCTGTGTTTGTCATTCGATCCTAAGGAAAGTTTTAGAGTTGATCAATAATATGTCTGGCAATATTATATATCATTTGAAGGTGCTATCGGAAATTGATTTGTATCGATATTCGCTAAACAGGAGCAGTTATCGCTCCTATAGTCAATAGATGGCTAAATCGACTCTACTGTTGCTGCTGATCAAGAATATATATACTTTATGGGGTCTATGATGCCTCCTTTTGCACGAGTTTATTATACCCTTTTCCCCATTTAATATATATAATTTAATAATATGATATATACCTCATTGTTATATAAGTAGATGTATACCTCAAAGAGGTCCATCGATTTCCTTCAACTATTCTATTAATTCTCATATAAATAATTTGTCAGCCATTTGGAGCTGGGAACAGGTCATCTCTCAGTCGGTCAGGGTCAACTGGAGCACTTTTCTATTTCATTTGCAATGTATTGGATCCTTGTTGAGCACTCGACTGTTTCAAGGCTTCCTGGCTCTGGCTTTGGTCCTGCTTCTACATATATATATATTGCAAGATTTAGATTGTCATGGGACACTCAGTTTGACATTCTGTGAAATTAACAGTTGCTGCAAGCAATGCAATTTTCAGTTGCTTTATTCAACTCGTATCTGTCTATCCAACTATATATATATATGTATATGTATTAAATGCCCTTTGCCACTCCTAGTTGTCAGGCAATTAGTTTGGCTTAGTCCCAGTTACGCCCACAACAATAGATATAAATCAGTGGTTGACCGCCCTCGCAACTAACCAACGGGAATTGAGGCAGAGACTACTAACTTGGCGCTGACTTAAGTTGGCTAAGAGCACGATTGAGTTGAAGCTTAACAAAATGAATGAAAAATGTATGTTAACAGTTGCAAATCAACAATTCTTATAAAAGATAAGCTACAACATTCTGCACATTCAACATTCGTAATGTGTGTTGCGAATGTTAGATATTTAGCTTAGTATTTTCTATTTCTTGCCATGATTTAGCGAATTTGACAACAGTGTGATGAAAAGTATGACAATATCAATGTCAACAATAGCTGATCTTTTAATATATGATTATAATTTAGTTCAGCTAACTTATTTTTTATATTTTAATGCTGAAAGCAGAATAAAAATGAAATCCTTCTTAATTTTTAATTATGTTTCTAATTTATTGGCTTGTTTGCAGAAAAGTCATTCTTCCCTATTTTATACTTTAATAAATGTTCTGATTATTTATTTCGCAAAAAAGAGCCAATCAGCTGTTTTATTTAAATCCAGGGCAAACGCAGACTCGAAATGGAATCGTGGAATCTCAAGAATGTGAATGCTACAAATATTGGGCACAGTGGAACCAGCCTGCTAATAAATGTCTGGCAAAAAACTTGTGTTGAATAAAACATAAAAGACAGCTGAGTTTATGTAAAATACATTTTTACTACTCTTTCTAAGAGTTATTTAATGGCAGTTATATATAAATCGGCTATATATCATTAAACGAAAAATTAATAAATAAATAAATGTAGAGTAGCTTGTAGTCTATGGGAATTTTGGTATGAGATTTTCACACATTTCTATTTTTTATATATAGACGAATATTTCAGTCGTTTATATTTAGCTTGTGCTTTCGGTTGTTGACGTTTTCAGCCCCACACATCTATATACATATATATATATACATGGATGTATCGTATATATCGCATAGATATATAAACACGTGTATATGTATACTTTGTTTGTTGTCATGTGTATTTACTCTCACTTTCTAATTTCTGTTGCCAGTGATAACAGATGTTTGGCTAAAACCAAAAAAAGGAAAAGGGGCTGAGAGCGGAACACGCGACGTGAACTGTTGGCTAACAAAACGATGGCCAACAAGACACGTTGCGGTCATAAATCTTGGATTGTCTCAAGGGGTGCGAAGGGGGGCAGATTGTGACACATGAATATACATAATAAATGAGGTGCATGTACAGTATAAATATATGCTTCTAGTTGATCTGTTAAATGTGTGGTAAATATTTATTTATATATATATGTCGATATGGGGGCAAGATACTGAAGAAGAAAAAGTGGTTTTCTCTCTATTATGTTAAATTATTTCATACATTCAGGTTAAGAGGGTGACAAAAAGAGATGGCAAGAAAACAATTACGTGGCAATAAGAACAATGGAATGGGGCAGGGCAGGGAAAACACACAGAAAAGTAGAAAAGTGTTGCACGCGCCAATTGGCATGTAAATTAACATGCAGCCTTGAAGTGTGCTATGAAATTTTTGCTGTTGCACTCGAGCTGGACACAAGTGCCACCATACAGTTGTGAACAAATTAATAGCACCACACTCTCACAAGAAATGTTTTCTGTTTTAAATTTGTAAGTTTAAGAAACTCATGAAACCATGTTAAAAGTGGAAGAAGACTTTTGTACACTCAAAATAAATAATAATAAAAGAAAGAAATAAATGATTTCTATAAGGAATGCGTAAGAGGTGCTATTATTTTTTCGCAACTGTTTGCGTGGCATGCAACGGCAAGGGTCATGACAGAGCGATATAGTGTGAGGGGCTGAGAACTTGAACAGCTTGCTTGAAATAAAAGCTAGTTGTGTTAGGCCCGGCCACGATTGGAACCCTTGAATTATGCAAAAGGCAAAAGGCAGAAGAAGGCAAAAAGCCAACTTGCGACGACGACCTTGATGTGGGCGTGCCACAAATTGCAGCCAGCAACGAAAAGCGAACGAAACGCGAGCGACTCGAGGCGCTTGCTGGTGGCAAGGTGTGAAATTTCCCATTGTGTGATCGATAAAACTGGCCATATATTTATATTCAGATATGCGTCGCAAAAATTTTACGACAAAATAAACAAGTTGACGGCAGCTGAACTGAGTCCCATAGATAAGAACGCAATGGCAAAATGAGAACAGCCTCAGTCTGTGCCTCAAAGCTGAGCCCCAGCTGAGCCCCAGCTGAACGGAGCCGAATTGCGTCCTTTTATCGACCCACCCCCGTAAAAAAAAAACAAAACAAAACAAAAAAAATAAACACAAATTGCCCATAAAACAAAAGGAAAAACGTACATAAAATGTGGCATAGCATTTTCGAGGGATACGCATGCCATGCAGTGGCCAGACAAATGGGCCTCATATTTTATGGGCCAACACAAAAAAGAAACCTTTAGCTTAAATTAAGAGCAATTGTAATTAGTCGTTTAAGTTGGCCTTGTTTGCTACATGCTACATGCCTTAAATCAAATATCAGCTTGTTTGGTTTGGCATGCACTGGCAGGCGTTACACTTGATTCGTACTTCATGCCCAGTGCCTGTCAAATGTTTGGAGATGTGTGGAACGATAAACTAAAGCTGCGACGCTGGCAGCGCTGCTTAAATGAGCTTTTCAATATTTACGCAGCGACTTGGCTTTGGCTTGACGCTAATCCCGACTCCTTGCCGCTGCCTGCCTGCGCCGCTGTCTGCGCTTAACAAACATTTTTTTTGCATTGAGCATTGAGCTTTTCAAGTGAAATTTGCTCTGTTTGCGCTGCCCATTTGGCAAGCACATCTGCACAGTTTGCGGCGCTGGCTGCGCAGTCAACGTCAGCCTTTTGGCTTTGTGTTTTTTTTTGTGGCCATTTTTTGGGGTTGTTTATGTTTTGCTTTGCTGTTTCGCTGGCTTTGCTGTTGAGGTAGGATGCGCTCTTCACACATACACATACACACACATATATCTCAATTTGTGCGTGTGGATGTTTCTAGGTGTGTCTATATATAAGGTGCAACCGTTATTTTTGTATATAGATGTATACTCACCTTTGACATGACATCTTTCGAGTGCTGCTCAACATTTTTTTGTTTTTTCTAGTTGGTGTTTTGTTTGTTTTTTTATTTTATTGTTATTGTATATATTTAATTATAGTTATTACATTTTGTCTTGAACACTTTGTCTTTATCACTTTGGCTGCAACGGGGGAAAAACTATCAAATGTCTAGGTGCGTGAATTCTCTATAAACCCTAGGATTAGATACACCTTTGACTAATATTCTCTATACACCCTCGTATTATATGTGGGTCCAATCAATCAAATAATACTTTAATACATGCACTTACAAAATGAATAAACGTAAATGAGATAAGATAGTCAAACGGGTCTAAGGGAATTATATTTAAATTAAGTTTTCTTGCTAACAAATTGAAATTGGTCTTAAAACACAATTTAGATAAATGCAAATGCGCGGTATTAACTGGGATTTTTGGTGGAAATATTTGTTAGTGGAAATTTCTGCTGTTTACGCTTTCACTTTTCTATTATAATTATAATATATTCTTTTTGATTTTATATTAATATATTATATATTATTTTTTGATTTGATTTCATTTTTTAAAATTAATTTTAACTATCACAATTTTCACAATTCTTGTCTAATTTTTCACGCACTTGCCACACGTGCATTGCACATGCCACTCATTTTCATAATTTATTTTTTTGCTTTTGTCATTTTTTTTTGCTTTACTTGTTGGCTTTTCTTTTGCTTAGCCTTCAACACAAATACACAGACAACACATGAGCATGCACACACACACACACACACTCAGGCAGCGTCGTCGGTGAGACATGTGCGCAGGTGTGCGCCTTGATTTTCTTTTCTTTTTCTATTTCCTTTTTTTTTACTTTCAATTATTCAGCAGTTAATTAAATAAATTTGCATAATTTACTTAACATGTTATCAATTTAGTCGCTTTTGCTGTTTTTTCTTTTTGTTTTTTGAGCTTGCTCTCGTTATTCTTTGCGTTGACACACATATAATAAAGGAGGGAAAAAAAAGGAAAACTGTAAAAGTTTTTTTTTTGGGCAGCGGAACAGAAAGAAAGAACAGAAAATTTTGTTTGCTGGCCGCTGTTTGCGTGTGAGTGTGTGTGTTTTTGTGTGTAGGTGTATGGGGAATATTTATATATGTGTGTGTGTGTTTGTGTCTGACTGTTTCCAACAACCACTGAACGCGCCCGCGCTGCTGCTTCTGCTGCTGCTGCTACTGCTGCTGCTGCTCGATGCGTGGCGTACGTGCGACGCGCTGACTGTCTCACTGGCGACTGGGCCACCAAACACAAACTTTAACTGGACTAACGCCCAGAGAGACAGTGAGAGCGAAAGAGCACGCTTGCTGGAATGTGCGCCTGCAAGCATACGCAACAGGAAAGAGCAGCTAAGCGAGAGCTTTCGCCTAGTTTAACGGAGACGCTTTTCTCTCGCCGACTGAGAGCGAGAGAGAGCTTTCGACGCACATGGCATTTGTTTATATTTGGTCGTCGCCTTCCAGCCGCTTGTACACACTGGAAGCGTTAACGCTGTTAAAAATAGCATTGCATATTTTTAGGCCTGCGCACGAACTGAAGAACGGGGAAAACGACGACATCTTATTTTGTACATTTTGCGGTTTGTCTTTAATTTTGTATTGCATGTGTTTGTTCTATTTTTATTTTTGTAATTTTGATAATAAACAAAGGCATCGGCGCTGGCCAGAACTCAAGATACGACGGCATTTGCCTCCACTGCAATGTTTAGCGCCATATTCGCCTGGGAGCGACGCAACGGATACAAATGATCCAGGTGATCGATGAAGGGACGCACCCCCTCCGGATTCCTCATGTACTTGCCCAGGCTGAGAATGATGTGACGATATATCTGATGATCCCGATAAGCAGCATTCGGTCGTCGCTTCTGCGGTGGTCTAAGCATCGAAACGAGCAGTTAATTGACCAGGTGCCAAAAACAAGAGACTAAATAAACAATTCCATTTTAAATATTTGATGTACTTTTCTGCTGCTCCTGCTCTACATACCAAAGATCAAAAACTTTGGATTTTCAATTAATTTTCAGTTGCGTTGGGAGTGGGCTTTTCACCTGGGTCGAAAAAATAAATTTCCTTTTGGGAGCATGGGTTTTGATGAGAATTGGGTGTCAACATCCAACATCGATTTTTTGTAATATTAACATAGAGGCTAAACCACTGGCTAGAAATTGTTGATCAGTTTCGACCAAGAATCACGATTTCAACAATAAATATAGGATGAAACTAAAGATCAAACCATGACCAAAAATGACTGGTATTTAGAAATCGGTTCAGTTTTGCTATAGTTATGCCACTGAGATGCATATCCTTTTTTCAGGTATTCAACTTTCAATGTAGGATTAAACTAAAAATCCAACCCTAATCAAAAAACCCTCATTTTGAAAATCAGTTGAATTTTGAAGAATTTGCCCCTAATTGTGGAACACTCCTAGAATTGGCAACGAAACTCACCGATCCTGGGTCCGCTGATTGAAGCGTCTGCGTCGAACTGTCTCCGTTCTTTGGCAGCTGTCGCAGTAGGCAAAATAGGCGCAGATCGTAATGATGATCACAGCGATGGTGTAGATTACCCAGCTCCAGCCGAGCAGGCTGCAAACCATGGTAAACATATGACAAGAAAGAGTAAATCAATATTTTAGCTGCTTACGTCACAAATGTTGCATTCAAATCCTTCCAGAACTGCGAGACATTCTCGTGCTGGTTCCTCTTCGCCTCGTTTCTCCAGAAGGCAAACGAGAACATTGTGGATTTAATCGCTTTTAGCAATAATTTTTGTTTGCCTACAACAAATGTGTGTCAGTAATTTGGTAAATAATTGCCGAGATGTGAGAATACTGTTTAGAAATCAATCCGAGAATGCTGAGAATTTCAATGGTGTCTGCGACTCAATTAGAAGTTTGTTTTCTTTCTCGTTTATCCTTAGCCAACGAGGAAGTTGTCAAGATTTAAGATCTGTCTGCTCATCGATTGATTATTGATGCAATTCAAGACGAGATTCGCTTTGTTTCTCTAGCGACAATTGGAGATTCGTGCGCTTCCGTCAACAACAAGCAAAACATCGCAAAACATCTGGCTAAAAAAAGCGTGATCAAATAAATTATCGCTGTGGGGCTGCAGCTGACATTGTCTGAGATCTCACTGAGATCTCTCCATCTCTCCCTCTCTCTCTCTGTGTCTCTTGACAATTTGCCAAGCTGTGGGGATTTATGGCCTCTGTCTTGGAACCAGACCCAGTCCCAGTCCTCATATGACACTGCATATTGCTCCAAATAGTTAGGCCTAGCCCACAAAAACAGACAAATGGACAAACAGCCAAACAGACAACAAAAACCTGGCCTGAATGACGGCTCAAACAAAACAAGCAAATTGCATTTGGCTGACAGCGGTCAGAGCCAGCTACAACTACAAACTGCTGACACACCATGGCCCCCAAACTCCAATCGAAGTTCTAACCCTATTTTCATTATACTCTGTTCAACAACAGATCGTTTGGGTTTCTTGGATCATAGTTTCATTTTAAACTACGATGCATAACAACAAAATAAATAAATATATTAATTACACGTAGCAAATCAACAAATATTTTGTTTCCGCTGCCGATTATGGCACGTTCACTTTCTATTTGTCTGCCTATTTTTGGGCATAGGATTTTCACATCAGTTTCGAGCCAAAATCACGTTTTTAACTTTAAGTGTAGGATTAATCTATAGCTCGAACTGTAACTAAAAAGCCCTGGTTTTTGGAAATCTATTGAGTTTTGCCAAAGTTATGGCTAAGAGAAATTTAGGGTCAGCTCCATATGCGGATTTTGTGGCTGGAACTATTGGATGACTTTCGACATAGAATCAGGTTTTTGACTTTATATGTAGAAATAATCTAGAGGCTGAATAATTATCAAAATGAGCTTCTTTTTTAACCTAAAGTTTTTGAACGAGCCTTACACTTTCAACTGAAAATGTATGATTAATCTATAAGCCAAAGCATGACTAAAAAGTCCGAGTTCTGGCAAATATAATCAATTTTTTCTACAATTTCTTGAATTTTTGCAATATGCGGTGACGTTTTCTTATCTTACTAATTAGTGGTTCTAAGGAAATGTTGAATTTCAGTTCTGATGCCGCAACCGGTTCCGAATTTCAATCGGTTAAGTTTGGTAAGCGGTTCAGCTACCTGTTTGACACCCTGCCATATGATGTTATATAGCCATGATCCACAATTATATTCCCTATACTACTTTAAGCTTTTCTTACACTGATAACAGAGTATACGGTAGTCTGTATCTTTCGCTTTAACATAATTTGCATGGGAATTGTATCTTTTATGGTAATTTTTGTTATATTTTTCTAGTGTTTATTTGTTTATTTGTATTTTTTACTTTATGTAATAATAAATGATGTTTTTGAGACCATTCGAAGAGATCGTTTTGATAATTTTGATTGAACTTATTCGGCATTAATTGATCAGACAAATGGCATTATAGATGGCTTCTCTGAACACATAAAAGTTAATTGTCATCATTAAGTAATTTTTTCATCAGCTTATAAATAAATTTATGTGTTCATATCGGTGCGCAAATTCTTTGAACGTAGTATGAATAAATTAATCCACAAAATAAACAAAATAAAACACTTGGGTAATTTTTTGTTGGTTGTGGAGAGAGTTCCATAATTAGATAAAAGTAATTTGGAATCGAGCAGAAAAATAAAAAGACATTTTGCAATTTAGCCACTTAACTGGTAATAAATTGATTCAAGAATCTGCTTTTGAGTTCAGTTTGTTTCTTTACTGCGTCTATTAAGGTGTTACAAGTTGCTTGTTAAAGTGTGCATACCCCTTTCAAGAAGACAAGCATAAATTAGTGAAGATCTTGAAGATTATTTGTGTGAAGTGTTTCTACTTGTCTTGGTTTTTTCCTCTACTCTCCGCTTTTTTCACAGATTCGATTCGATTGCCACTTTAAAGTTTGGCTTTTTTTCGGGCTTCATCAAATGGCTGTCAAATTAACTAAATATGTAAACACATCGCTGATGCTGTTGCTGATGCTGTTGCTGATGATGGCCAATAGACTTGGAGGGGAACCCACACGAAATGCAAATGAATTGTTATCAGTTAATTGACCAAAAGGGTCAACTTAACAACCCTCTCTCTCTCTCTCTCTCGCTGTCTATCTCTTTCTGCATTGTTATCAGCTTTTATGCTTGATTTGATTATATTATGCTGCTGCTGCTGCTGCTGCTGCTGCCGCTGCTGCGTGGGTGGGGCATGGTGTCCAAAAAGCTGCCCCACTCACTTTAAGCGGCAGCTAATAGGCCAATAAATGTGTTGCGCTTAAACCGATTTACGGCTCTTTTGTGGCTCAGCGGAACGCAAATCCTTTTGACAGATGCGCACACAGTGGGGCACAGCAGCGGGCACAGTGGGGCAAAGCGGCTGGTGTCGCCACAATTGGGCAAGGGCAGCGAAACAAGTTCTTGTCTTGTCTTGGCCATCTCGCTGCGAAGATCAGCTCGAAAACTGGCTGCTTCTCGAAGCGCAAATATTTAACTTAACAACTTGCAACTGAAGAACGGCAAAGCACCATAAAAAGCAGCAACTGCAGCCAGCAGCCGGCAGCTACACTAATAAGAACAGCAAGTTGTACATAAGTGTAGACTAAGAGATACCCTATTCAAAAAGTTTATTCTCTCTTAAAATACTTGCCCGCTGCGCTGTGCTTGCCTCTATGTGAATATTTAGTTATATATCTGAATATAACTGTCTGTTAAGCACCTGTGCATATAATCAACAGCAGCAGGTTGCACAAAAAGGTACAGGGTATAGCACAACTCAGCACAGTCACTAATAATTGACTCACTATAACTATCTACAAATAGATATCTCAATATACCTGTCTGCTACATACGCAAGCACAAAATCAAGATACCCTAGCAGAGTACAGGGTATATCACAACTCTTTTCTAGCCGCTTCGTTACCCTGCGGGGGCGCAACGAAAACAAAACAGCTGCAGCGACAACGTCAGCAGCAAAGTCAGCGTCAGCAGCACCAGCAGCAGCAGCAGTCGCAGTCGCAGTCTCAACCTTAGCCTCAGTCGCAGTTGCAGTGTGCGTTGCGTTGCCGTCGCTGTCGCCGTCGCTGTCGCCGTCGCCGTCGCAGTCAACGACCAAAACGAAGGCAGCCGCATCGAACAAAGAAAGCGAACTTGTTCTACGACTGCTGCCCAAATTTGTATAGCGAAGACGAAGTCTGCGTCTGCATCGCGACTGAGAAAACGAAGTTCGTCGTCACCGTCGTCATCGTCGTTGTCGTCGAACGTCGTCGCGCAACTGGACTTTCGGTTTCGGTTTCGGTCGTGCTTGGGGCATATTCAGTATGCAGAGTCAGTTCGTCTCGGGACTTCTAAGCGATCAGTTGTTGTTGTCGAACATTGATCAAATATCACGCATCGAACGTGATCAGTGATCAGTGATCAGCTTCTTCAGCGAGTGTTTTGTTTTTTTGGCAGAAGAAGCAGCAATAAAAAAAATAAAAAAAAAATCATTCAAAATATCTTACGGTTTTTTGTGTATTTTTACATTCTCCTGGCATATACGGAAGCAGCGTTAATCTGTACTGAAATGTTTACACATTTTGACAGATGAGCACAATTGTATCTATATAATTTATTACACATGCAAAATTACGACGCATCTCTGCTTAATGTCAGCGCGCAAAAATTTCAATTTATTGTTTGTGATTGCAAATTTGACAGAATTGTCGGGTTGATTTACACACATCTTCCTCAACTCTAACCTCAACGTAGTCTCGAACAAGTTCCTGGCTTAAAGAACTTGGCCAATTGATTTCCACGGCGCGTAAGTTAAATGCAAATTAGTTGTTAATTGCAATTAATTGCATTAATTTATAAATGTGACATGGAACACTTCCTAGTTTGGGTACCCAGTATAATTTATCTTGCTCACTGATCACATTTGTTGCAACTTAATAAACGACAGCTTTGTGTCATGGCAATAAGCATGATATAAACTGTTTTAAATATACAGAAACAGTTAGCCTTGAGTGGGTATGGCAAGGAAAAGATCATTCTAACCATAATAAATATAATAACAAATTTGTTCTCAGTATGGAAACAGTAGAAAAATGTCAGAAAATCATCCTTCTAAACACAAAAAGTTGACTTGCCAATTTAAACATCAAAAAAATGTCAGGTGTGAAAAAGAATTTCGCTCATTTATTTGTGACGTGTGAGGAAATGCTGACATATCTGACAACGTATTGTCAACGTATTCGGCTTGTACAAATATATATACATATATATATCCTTCCTTTTACCGTTTTGCAACTGTATGTTAAGAATCGTGACATTGTCACGATCACTCAAATTGTGATCGTGCCTGTTTTCAGTCTCGCACATTGAGATAAAATTGAGAAAAATATGAATTGCATGACTTGCGCAAAATACATCAGAGTAGCACAAATATATTTATATATATGATAATAATAATGAATATATATATATTTTAATAGCAAGAAATGTTGTTCTGGAATGAAAAGTCTGAAATGAAATAAGATCTACAAACTCAAACCAAAAATGTGTGCTTAGAAATGAGAAATATGAAGACAGTAAACTGGATTTTCGATACTTCATTTTGGGTACTTCATTTCAACAGATTCGATCTAAGAATACATATCAAACTTGAGAATATATTGCTGCTTTAGATAACTAACTTGATCTAAGTTGCTTAGTTTTGATTAACGGACTTTTTTTTTGGCTTAGACAACGAACTTGATTACAAAT